GTTCGTTCATTTTTTTCCTTTGTTTAGTGTTAGTTCAGTTTGACCCTTTGTTCAGTGTTGTCCAGTTTCCTGTATTCAGTGTTCGTTCATTGGTTTCCTTTGTTCAGTGTTAGTTCAGTTTGACCCTTTGTTCAGTGTTAGTTCATTTGTTTCCTTTGTTCAGTTGTTCCCTTTGTTCAGTGGGACCGCCTCCGTGGTCTTGCGGTAGAGCGTCCGCCCGGAGAGCGGAAGGTCCGGGGTTCGATCCCCGGCCGCGCCATACCAAAAGACGTTTAAAGATGGTACTTGTTGTTACCCTCTCTGGCGCTCGGCATTAAGGGGCTAAAACAAGGACTGGTCGGCTCGGAGTCAGTATACTGTGTCTGAGTGGGGTATTCATGTTAAACTGCGGCATGGTATCTCAGTGAGCTAGCACTATAAATCGGCATCAGTCCGGACTAGTACAAGCAGCCACACAAACACACACACGTACATGCACGTCGCTATATAAGTGCAATAATCTTGGACGCGATGTTAAACCCAATTTCACCTCACCTCACCTTTGTTCAGTGCTAATTCAGTTGTTCCCTTTGTTCAGTGTTGTCCAGTTGTTCCCTTTGTTCAGTGTTAGTTCAGTTGTTCCCTTTGTTCACTTTTAGATCAGTTGTTCCCTTTGTTCAGTGTTAGTTCAGTTGTTCCCATTGTTCAGTGTTAGTTCAGTTGTTCCCTTTGTTCAGTGCTAGTTCAGTTGTTGACTTTGTTCAGCTGTTCCCATTGTTCAGTGTTCGTTCAGTTGTTCTTTTTGTTCAGTTGGTCTCTTCGTTCAATGTTTGTTCAGTTGGTCTCTTCGTTCAATGTTTGTTCAGTTGGTCTCTTTGTTCAGTATTTGTTCATTTGTTCCCTTTATTCAGTGTTAGTTCAGTTGTCCCCTTTGTTCAGCGTTTGTTCGGTTGTTTCCTTTGTTCAGCGTTTGTTCAGTTGTTCCCTTTGTTTAGTTGTTTCCTTTGTTCATTGTTTGTTCAATTGTTTCCTTTGTTCAGTGTCGTTCAGTGGTAACCGAAGTTGTCATTCCCTGGCATTTACGTTTTATATATCTAATATGCCCGTTTGAAATAACTTGTTTACATGAAATGCCAAATATCCTGAAGTTAATGAATGAATTTTGTCTGTAAATAGCAATGTAAAAGTCATTTACATCATTTATATTTCTTGTAATGAAGTTAAGAAATGATAAAACAAGTGATATAAACAATGAACAATGTAGTCTACTGTCCACACAGACTTGCACATTAGTCGTGTGGCTTGTCAGTAGTTTCTGCAGTAAAGGCTTGTAACACTACGTTCCATAATCCCTCCCTTCGAAAAACGAGCATGCCCAGAAAAAAACTTACAACAGACATACCAGTTATACTGTACTTGTGGTCGCAACAATTGTATCTAAAGACATTTCTCATTAACTCAAAAGTATACACTTGAAAATTGGATTTGACAAAACAGTCACAAACTTTATCATAACTCAACGAGGCTGAAAGCAGTGGCGGAAACACTGTAAAACCAAAGGTCCAAAACACAACTATTATACGGTATTAAATACATGACCATCGAATAACCATTTCTTGTGTGTTTCAGTTTTAGCCACCATCAAACGTGGGTGTATACTTTCTTTTGCCCGGCCGTCCGGATCGTCATGGCTGGGGCACATAAAGTGTGTCACTGTGGAGACAGGTGCATTAGGGAAAATGAAATGGGTTAAACATATTTATTGTCATAAAAGTGTGAAAATGGATTGGCGACCAAGCAAAGGGCATATGTTAATACTGCTCCATTACACATAGGAGATATTACAATAAATACATCAATGCAGGTTAGATGTAACAAATGAATTGAATATGCCAAGAAAGATGTGTATATATAATAAATATATTTGCAGTTAATATTAAACAATTCATTTAACTGAAAACCTGCCAGTTTTAATTACAATCTAATATTAGGGTTTACTCTTCCTTACTCTATTACAAATTTCCGCATAGCACTGTTTGTAAAGAATAAACATGTTCGTAAAAAATACATTTCATTTCGAAGAACATAGTAATTTGTACACACATAAAAAACAGTGTAAAGCATCTTCGGTATGATATCCACAGGAACAAGTTTTAGTATCCAAGAAATATCTATCATACTGATCTGCGTTATGATCGCTGCAGCCATGCCTGAGGCGACTGTAAATAATTAAACATAACTTGTCTCCATAATTTAAATCCCAGTGTATACCATTATCTCCCCTTACGTGAAGGAAATTCTGAAATTGTGTAACGGTCTCTGTCCCCTTTAGGCTTTCTGGTAACATATTCCCAAGTTGTGTTATAGCTGGTATAAATGAATCTGCATAAGCTTAGGTTTTACACTTCGCTGTTTGAAGATTAGTTTTAACATATTTGTGTTTTGCGAAACTGTGTCAGGAATAAGCCGACACAGATATTCCCTGGAGAAATGGTTATTCATTTTGTAAAAAATTACCAGTTTTGAATTCTATCGTCTCTCTTTTAATGACTTACAATTTGTTTCATTGTAAAGCTTCTGATGACTCGTACCCCGGACAGCGCTACATATGGTTCTAAGAGAAAAAGAAATGTGGGTTAACCAGCCGTCAGCTGACTTATATATCCAACACATATGTACGGTGTAGGCCAACAAGATGTTTCCAGATACCCGTTGTGATCCACAGTTATCAACTGACGGGACACTACATTAGCGTTGAACTTTCAACGTGGCTTGAAAATTAATTCTAGAAATAATTCTCGTGAATCGCCACAATGTGCACATGCGCAGATGTGGGGTGAGGTTCCACACCTAATTGGTAACTAGCGCCATTAAAAAGTCTGACAGTTTCAAAACTAAAAGTTACTCATGTTCAGAATCAGATTCTTTATTTAAGAAATAAACGACGAGTGGGAGTTGTTTATCGTACAATAGAACACTGCAGGGAGAATAAACCACGAGGGGCGCAGTGTTTAAATTTACATTTAACCCGACCTCGGCAATGTCGAACAAGTCCATTTTATGCACATGTGGGTATTTTCCGTATATTCTCACAATCCCCCTTCGAATACCTGTATCTTCTCTCCTAATAAAGATTATTATATCTCTCCCGCTTTGGGATGCGATCGTTCGGCCATCGCGTTTATCTGCGTTGCCTAGCAACATCTATGAAAACAGCTCACTCGACACTCCCCTCTTAAAAATAACGTCGTCATATATACAACGTCATGAAGTTGCGAGCGCGTGTTCGAGCGCGTGTTCGAATCTCGAGAAATGACTTCATGATAGAGCAATGTTTTATCGTGAAATAAACCACGATTCGTTCTACATTGTTCTTTGCAATTTATTGCGTCGATATCTTATATTTCTCTTTTTAACACCATCGTTGGCACATGAGCAATAGTTTAACATACGATACGTAACATGTGGAACGGCGAATCAATGAATCAAGATTGAAAGGGAGTATACATTTATATATAACCATGAGTATACACGATTAGTTAATACGACTTCAGATTGTATTCTGTATATATGACTTCTTACTTCATTCTTTGTTAATAAGTGGTAGGAATCTACCAAGCTGCTCTAAGTATTTACATTTAGGAGAACATAAGAGGCGTTTTAGATTCGAAATGTTTGGGCAGATGAGGTATTTACTATCGATAAGTGTTATTCTTTGTTTTCTAAAAGCATCATAACGAAATAAATAGTGAAATTCATCTGCAAAGCCTGGTGAGTTACATAAGTTACATAAGCGATCTTCTCCAGGAGTATTGTTCCATCTTCCGGTCTCAGTGGGATGATGATGTAGTGGGTATGATACTGATTTAAGAAGCAAATGGTATTTTTCAAAAGTAGGTATATGCTTAAAATATTTGTAGTAAAATCTCTTAGAGCTTGTTGCGGCTGTACTACGCCAAGTACGTTCATTGTTCTCTCAACAGCTGGTACAACCCAGTTACAATGTTGGGGTGAACGAAATACGACTGTTAGACCACAGGAGTGGTTGGAATCCGCGGGCCAGTAGCAATTGAATTTTTTAGTGGATTCTTTCCAAAGCTTCCGCTATTTCATATCCCAAGACTTCGGATCCATACAGCAGTATAATAAAATTTTCAATAGCCTACGTAAATCGTCTATTTTTCTGATATTTTATTCACTGCTAATTGTAACTCTAAGCTATTTCTAACTTTTTGTCTCCAAAGGAGAAGGATATGTTTACTTTAGCTATACCTCCACCAAATACAACAACTTTTTTGCAATATTGGCATCAAGTTTCCATTTTCTATAATAACTGTAGAATACATTTAATGAGTTGATACATTCACTCGAATTATTAAAAGTGACAACCGGCTCCAAACCTCCAAACACAAGAAGCATTGGGGACAACAAGTGACATGTATCATTCCAACGAAACTGCTACACGCTAACTGATGAAAACAGGCCGGACATGTTGAGAAAGTAGGAATTCATTTTTCAGTATTTGGTGGTAAAAATAGGATACTTTCTTAAACTAATGAATGAATAGTCAATTTCTTTGTAGCAACTGTATGACAACACATATATGCAGTACAGCTGTTGAAGTATTTGAAACAAACACTGTAAATGGATGGTGTATCGTATTAAGCTGCTAACATGCTATTAAGACTTTAGGAAAAACCTTCTGTGACAGGACATAGATCGCAATGTCAGTTCGTGTCTACGGCAAAGGCGTCCATGTTATAATGATGACAACTCGCTGTTCATGCAATAAAAGCATACTTCTGTGGTGTCAGTTATACAGTAAATTACATAAAATGAAACACTAGAAAATTATGAGAACCTACTTTCCTATGACCACAGAAAAGAAAAAAAAATGTTCCATAAAATCAATAGAAAACAGATGGACCCAGCCATGTGACGCTGTACAGTCATGCGACTCTGCGGGGCTCCAGAACTGCGACCCACTATACGAACAAACTGTATAAATAAGGCCCCTGGATCATACTTGTCAGTAGCTGAAGAATCAAGAAGATGTTCTCCTCCAACTGCTTCGCGTTTCTCCTCCTGGCCGTCCTCGCCACACCAGCATCTGTCCTCTGTCAAGGAACAAATACAAGCTGTCCACAAAGCGGCCGCCTAAGCGCAAAGCTTTTGGCCCTCGCCACGGAACTTTCAAGCATTGACGGCGACATTACTTGCTCCTTGGACATCATCGCCCAGCAATGTCCCTGCCTGGGTAAGTGGCTAAATATACTACAGTAAACTACATAGTAATGATACTAGGTGTTTGCGAAAAGGTAAGCGTATCCTGCCCCACCGGTGGCACCCGTTACAAACACGTGCACAGGCAAGTCAATGAACTCACTAACATTACGTGTTTACTGATATCTAGCCCAATACACCGTGTTACTCAGCTAGTTTATCTGATGATACAACTTCAAGTTCTCTTTTACAATCTTTTACATTCGTATGGTTTGACGTCCGTGCTCTGTCTAGTGGTATGATGATGGTAAAGCCGCCATTATTTATACATTGAACTTCATATCCTGTTTCACACTTAATGTGCTCTTTTTCTTGTGATCATATTGACTCTGTTTGTTACCAGGTTTTTAGTGGTGAAACATAATTGGAAGCATTCCTGTTACATAAATAGGATTATGTTATACTTCGCCACAATATGAATATGAATTGGAGCTTGACATACCAATAGCTACACGTACAGAGACTGTCTACACAGTGTAACCCCCTGACCGCCCTTTCAGATGGATCTTACATGTAACCCCCTGACCGCCCTTTCAGATGGATCTTACATGCAACCCCTTGACCGCCCTTTCAGATGGATCTTACATGTAACCCACTGACCGCCCTTTCAGATGGATCTTATATGTAACCCCCTGACCGCCCTTTCAGATGGATCTTACATGTAACCCCCTGACCGCCCTTTCTCAGATGGACCTTACATGTAACCCCCTGACCGCCCTTTCAGATGGATCTTACATGTAACCCACTGACCGCCCTTTCAGATGGATCTTATATGTAACCCCCTGACCGCCCTTTCAGATGGATCTTACATGTAACCCCCTGACCGCCCTTTCTCAGATGGACGTTACATGTAACCCCTCGACCGCCCTTTCAGATGGATCTTACATGCAACCCCCTGACCGCCCTTTCAGATGGATCTTACATGCAACCCCTTGACCGCCCTTTCTCAGATGGACCTTACATGTAACCCCCTGACCGCCCTTTCAGATGGATCTTACATGTAACCCCCTGACCGCCCTTTCAGATGGATCTTACATTCAACCCCCTGACCGCCCTTTCAGATGGATCTTACATGCAGCCCCCTGACCGCCCTTTCAGATGGATCTTACATGTAACCCCCTGACCGCCCTTTCTCAGATGGACCTTACATGTAACCCCCTGACCGCCCTTTCAGATGGATCTTACATGTAACCCACTGACCGCCCTTTCAGATGGATCTTACATGCAACCCCCTGACCGCCCTTTCAGATGGATCTTACATGTAACCCACTGACCGCCCTTTCAGATGGATCTTACATGCAACCCCCTGACCGCCCTTTCAGATGGATCTTACATGCAACCCCCTGACCGCCCTTTCTCAGATGGACGTTACATGCAACCCCCTGACCGCCCTTTCAGATGGATCTTACATGTAACCCACTGACCGCCCTTTCAGATGGATCTTACATGTAACCCCCTGACCGCCCTTTCTCAGATGGACCTTACATGTAACCCCCTGACCGCCCTTTCAGATGGATCTTACATGCAACCCCCTGACCGCCCTTTCAGATGGATCTTACATGTAACCCCCTGACCGCCCTTTCTCAGATGGACCTTACATATAACCCCCTGACCGCCCTTTCAGATGGATCTTACATGTAACCCCTTGACCGCCCTTTCTCAGATGGACGTTACATGTAACCCCCTGACCGCCCTTTCAGATGGATCTTACATGCAACGCCCTGACCGCCCTTTCAGATGGATCTTACATGTAACCCCCTGACCGCCCTTTCAGATGGATCTTACATGTAACCCCCTGACCGCCCTTTCAGATTGATCTTACATGCAACCCCTGACTACTACCCCTGGAAGTTATACCTCCATTATGTTTCAGTAGATTATGTCTAACTTTAGCACATACTTGGTACATATATGTACCAACATATGTATATTCAAAGTATTTAACAATTAGTTGACTGAGATACTTTAATCAAGATACACATAAGGGAGTGAGTATTGCGGAACGCCGCATTAGCAATATTCCAGCTATTCGTGGGGAAGTAAAAGACAATGAGTGAGTGAGTGAGTTGAGTTTAACGCCGCTTTTAACAGTATTCCAGTTATATCACGGCGTGTCAGCTTAATGTGGGAGGAAAGCCCGAAGTGATGCGGGTCTCAGACGTTTACCACTTCGGTGAACCCACGAGCACGGGTATGGTGCCGACAAACCTAGAAAAAATAATTTGGGAGAACCGGGATTCGAACCCACAATCATAGGTTCCTGGCGTGCCCAAGGGACGCAACTCTGCACAGCGAATCGCGGCGCCTTAGACGACTGGGCCACCCGTGCCCCCTAAAAGACAATGCCAAGTCTTTGTAAGTAAAGTATCCTGTGTGTTATAAAGTAAACTAATTTACGATGATGTAATGGGAAAAAATGTAACAGTGATGCATATAAAAACAATTTTAAAAAACTCTTTAAATGGGACGATCTCTTTCTTTTACTTGAAAAAAACTCTGTGCATTAAAGAAGAATAACGCGATTTCGTCTTTCCAGATCACTTGTGGCTTATTTGTGCCCTTGTTACTTTTTTACTTAATTTACTTTAATTTCTTATTGTTTACACGTACTAGCGGCATGGTTGGCACGTTCAAGAACCGGGATGCATCAAATTAACGTGGATGTAATCGATAAAACGCTAGGCACGAATTTTTGACCAGGTCTAATCATTAACCGAGTTTGAAGTAGTATATAAAAAAATATAATTCTTGTTGCAGATGCCTCCAGCGACTGCTTCGAAACACGTGTCACAAGCTTCCAAACCGCTTTACAAGACCTCATGGCGGATGTCGCCAATGTCACAGCCGACGCCCCAGTAGACTGCCCTGAGCGTAGGTCTTTAAGCTACAAGTATTTTCGAATGATAAATCACTGACTCATATAGTTTTTACCACAACTTGTTTTCCTTTTAATGAAATCTGTTTCGACAAATGATCGAGATTGTTCTCTTGACCTTCATATTATTGTTGATTTGACGAACACCTATTTACGGAGCCTAGATTGGCATCGATTGATTCAGATTCTGCATCCCTTAACGAAACAGTTATTATTTATCTTGATGAAGACAACTTAAGCCAGGCGGGCGCTTGCTTATTCACTTCAACTAATTCTATATTAACCTGGCACTGATTCCCACTAGTACCCAGGCTGCCTTGAGACACACGCTGTCCCAGTAAATGATAGCAGATCTAGTGGTGTTTGGATTCCTGTTCACAAACAGAACGAATTGACAAGATATGTCAGACAACTAATTATATATCTATCAACTATTTTAAATGTACATGTATATTAACTTTATATAGCTATGTATACCAACTATTCTTTATGTGCTGCAATTTAGACGAGTATTGAGCGTAACATTTCTAATTTACACCTTAAAATGTTTGTTGGCCTTGGCCTTGTGTTACTTGGGTTACAACTGACTCTAATATTAGTTTAAAAAAACAAACCAATTTAATATTATTCTGAACAATCCTGCATTTACTTGAAACAATCTTTTTGTAGTTTTAGAATTATTTTCATGTCAAGTTCATTTACATGAAAAAAACCCCCTCAAAGTTTTAGAACGTATAAGAACTTTGTTATAGTTATTGTGTGGCTTATTCAAGCTTTCCTTTCTATACATTGATGGTATGAGACTGGCGTCTAAAATAAGTACCAAGATCTGATGAAATAGTCGACTCACGAGATAATTTCTCATAAAATCTCAGATAAAGATTGCAAGAAGTTACCTTAGTTGACAACTAAGGTAACTTCTTGCAATCTTTATCTGTGAATGTTTAGCAAATTTCAGAATAATATGTAACTGCAAAATATACACTAAAACTATATGGCTGCTATATACTTGAAGGTACCGGTGCGGTGTTCGTGGCTTCGTGTGATGAACCTGATGTTGCTGTGGTAGACCCCAATGGTGTCATCCAAAACGACTTCACATTAGGCGAGAATGTAACTAGATTGTCTGTTTTCCCCGACGGTGCTACTTCTGGGTTTGAATACCTTAAAAACAACCCGTTTCAAGTTCGATGTCGCGCACAAGATGGATCGGAAACCGTATTAGGCGATACTACTGGTATGTGTATGACAACCTCGTTCCCACGTTTTGACCTCTCATGTCAAAGGGTGTGTTGTGAAAATGTCCTGTTCAGTCATGCATTGTATACTAATGTTAAAAATCAACTGTCAGGGAACGACCATTTATCATGTTGGGGTGGGCCGTGTTCAACATAGCAGTATACTGTCAGGGAACGACCATTTATCATGTTGGGGTTGGCCGTTTTCAACATAGTAATATGCTATCAGGGAACGACCATTTAGCTTGTTGGTGGGAAGATTGCTTTGACACTAGTGAACTTGTGACTGCCACAACTATTTCCCAGTTACAGTTTGTCATTTATTTGTTACTAGATACTCTACTAACAGCTGGGCCAGTAGGTACTGGGATTGCGTACAATCCTGCCACAGACCAAGACTATGTAGCCATTTCGTTCAACGGTGATGCGTCTCGGAATGGCATCTATTCCTTCAATAGGACCACTACAGATATCAACAAGGTTATCGACATTACTGGCCCGACCGGACAGATTCAGATCTTTAACGGGTATGTGCACTCCAAAACAAGGTCGTAAACGTCCATATTGTTTTTAAATGCACGCAGTTATGACGGATATCCCGGGATGTATTTACTGTATACAGCTATGCCAAGATGTTAATCACATACATAGAATACGTCATCGGGAGAGATTGCGTAATGTCTGTGACCGATAATAACCACTGTCAGGTATGGTTTATATAATGTTCAACCCAGATATTTTGCATTTGCCAGACATATTTTTCAATTTTTATTCAATAGACTTATCTTAAATTTTCTATTCAAACAATCTGGTACATTTAAGTTAGAGCAAGACAACATTATATCCATTTCAAATGTAAATGCGCTCTCTAAGTGTATTATTACTTTCTCATTCGGTGGTAGTGTCAGTCCAGACAGACAGACACATACAGACTATTTCAAACTGTGTAGCACTCCTTGATAGTTACCCTGTCCAAAATGCCACGGTAGTATGTACAACACAAATAGATATGCCATACACAGAATACACAATGTCACTGATGTAGTAACAAAGTGCTGACTAAGAGTTACTATCAACATTACTTACATTTACAGACATTTTGTGCCCGCCCTCAACCCCCGCCACCCCCCTCACGAAAATGTCTTGGATATATGCTTTGAATTATTATATTCTGTATGTATTTATCTATCTTTAGCCGATGACCGCTTTAAGTATTTTGAACTGCAGATGAAGGTTTGTGTCTTCAAATTCACCAAGACAATTGAAATGCAATACTTTTTTGGTTGCAGTGTTGTGTACATGAGCCTCGGTTCGAATATCTTGGCACTGTCTGCTGCAGGTCCTCCGGTGATAGAAGTCTTTTTTGTAGTGCAAATTGCGTCTTTTGTAGTACTCGATGTTGGTAGGTATAATGCCTTTATATTCATATAAATAACATCTAGTTGCTGTATCACTCTTGTGTTACTGGTCGCCGTGACTTGACTTACTTTGCATTTGTTAGTGACGGATGCCACTGGTGGAACAGGATACGGTCGCCATCGTCACCATTTGATAGTTATTCTCAGAAAAGACATGCTTTACAAACGGAATTGTACAATGCTGTAAGCAGCGAACTGTTATGATTATTGAAATGGGACATTTGGCCTAAATTGCTTACATAATTTTGATGCTCCAACTAATCCGATAGTTAATACCGTTGGAACTTTGGGCTGTGTTTGCATACAGACAGGATACAAATGACCCTAGTCTACAGAACGCAAACCATCCTTATACTTTAAACGCAAAGCAATCATTATTCGTATGTTTTTCATATGTTATGCATATGTTTTTCATATATTATGCATATGTTATTCATATGTTATTCATATGTTATTCATGTTATTCATATGTTATTCATATGTTATGCATATGTTATTCATATGTTATTCATATGTTATGCATATGTTATTCATATGTTATGCATATGTTATTCATATGTTATTCATATGTTATTCATATGTTATGCATATGTTATTCATATGTTATTCATATGTTATTCATATGTTTAGAGGGGGAATCATTTGATGTATTGAATGTTTGGAACAAGGTTGTGACTCGAACATAATGGTTCGAATTAGAGGTGACACAGATGGAAAGTTTCGAATAAAGACGATTCAACACAGGACATTACTTGAACGAGTTCCTTTCAACTCTTGTCAAATCAGACCTTCTATGTATGGCTTCATTGTCACACGGCAAGTAATGATGGACTCATTACTCGTTGATATTGAGGTCTTGTTTAAATTAATTGAACATTAATGCACAACATGTGACCTGCACGTTTGATGTGGACAAGATTATCCTGTTTGTAAATACGTTATGCCCCATTACACTTGTGGTTGAATGAGTGAAAATATTCAATGTCGAAGTTATCCCATAAATCAAGGGTTGACATATAACACTACAATACACATAATCATTTAAATCACAGCATTGCGACCGCCTGATTCCTAATTTACGTCGTCACGGGTAGAGAGGTAGAGAGGTCCTCAGCTCTCCAAGCCTAACAGTTTCATACATCCAGTCTCTATTTCTCTCATACAGGTCGTTTTGCGTTTTGTGAGGAGGCAACGGGTTCCGTGTATGTTGTCTTCCCCGCAACCTTTTCCTTCAGGCAGATAAGGCAGCCGAGTTTAAGCAACCAATGTGGTTCCATCGGAGTCAACCCCTGTAACTCCCTGCTCTACGTTGTCAACCAAAACGATGCGTGAGTAAATATTATTGATATGATAGGACTTGATATGCGATAATGCAGTTAGATGAAACGAGCATCCTTACTTCTAAAATGTTATCTTAGATGTTGACCGAGCCAATACATTGTCATCATACGTATTTAAGTAACCGCTTTTGCATGCATCTCCCCTGGAGTCATATCAGGGTGAAGTTTGTTTGTTTGTCTGTTTGCTTGTTGTTTGACGCCGCACCCAGCAATGTTCAAGCTACATGGCGGCGGTCTGTAAATAATCGAGTCTGGAACATACAATCCGGTCGGCGTGTAAATCTTTCTCACAATAAGTGAAACATTATGAACATACTTTTACATCAATCCTCAGTTTTTGTAAAACAATTCTAGCACTGAGCTTTGTTTTCAGTCAGAACATGTAGCTTTTAATCATTTTTCAGTTTGTTCTATATTGCTTGTTTGATAAGGTAAATGCTTGTCATCTGGTATCCCACACACTCCTTTCCATGTCAGATGGCATTGTGGAGATCCCATTTGGGTCTGACGTAAACACAAACAATTGTGTGTGACAACAAGGTATTACTGTCCATCTCCTCTAAGATGGATCGGAAACACTTGTATTCTTTTGTCTTAAGGGGGCACGGGTGGCCCAGTCGTCTAAGGCCCCGCGATTCGCTGTGCAGAGTTGCGTCCCTTGGGCACGCCAGAAACCTATGATTGTGGGTTCGAATCCCGGTTCGCCCCGATTATGTTTCTAGGTTTGTCAGTACCATACCCGTGCCCGTGGGTTTCATCAAAGTGGTAAACGTCTGAGACCTGCATCACTTCGGGCTTTCCTCCCTCATTAAGCTGACACGCCGAGATATAACTGGAATACTGTTAAAAGCGGCGTTAAACCCAACTCACTCACTCACTCACTCACTCACCCTTTTGTCTTAAGACTTACGATTTGGTTATCAGGACCGACCATTTGAGGGCTGCATCTTATGATGATATAGAAATTATACACACGACGAGTTTTTCATCAAGTCAGGATCCAGTTTCATTTGAAGAGTCCATCTGATTGAAGAGAGATGTTAATCTGCGTACTCTTACATTTAAGATGACTATTTGCAAACTTCTTCTTTCAGAAACATTGCAATCTACAACACTACTTCATTTACTTCGGAAGGGACGTTAGCATACAGCACGTCACCATCTGCTTGCCCATCTTTGGGGGTGGATCCAACATTCTGGTAGGAATTTGTAACTGAAGCATTTCCTTAATAAAACAACCAGCAATGGCAACGACCAATTAATTACCTCTCAATAGAACATAGAATTAGACATTATAACATTTCTTCCAATGTTAATTGCATTTAAAAAAAATATTTTTGATAAATTGCATTAGAATCATTGAACTGTGATTGTGATTGTAAGTCCAACCGGTCCAATAGTATTTATAGAATAAGTTTACTCAAACAAAACAGAAATATAATCTAAGCCTTAAAATTCGATATGTCAGAGATGTTTTTCATAAGGCTCAAATTGTAATTCTGATGTTTATTTTCATGTTACAGCTGTGCATAAGCGGAGTTCGACGACGGTATGTTAATTAATGTTTATTTTTGTCTGATCCAAGATAGTTATTTCCTTATTACATGACTTGCATTAAACAGTGCGTGAATTTAGCTGTAAACTGCATTTTGCAATATTCCAGCGATCTTTGAGCTTCGTGATATTGTCAAAACTATCCTATTTTGTTTAAGATGACATCAAATGACCATTCCTCAACAGTCTCTTTACCCTCTATGCGATGGATCATACAAGAGGCTAGCTCATGCCTGCTTGCTCGTTTGCTAATCATGAGCTTTATTTGTGAGCCTGGAAGAATATAGAGAATCACTTGTAATGTAAATTTCTCTCTTGTTTTCAGGTTGAGCTGATATCCAAAGCTACGTCATCCACATAAAAGAATGTTAAAAAGTGTAGAGGCATTGCTTTGTCAATAAACCTATCTTACACAACCAAGATTTATGTTTTTAATGTTTCAATGTAACTTTAAGAACCTGAATTAGAATCTATAAGCATGTCACTAATTTAGTGTCATTATGATAGCAGTATACACAGCAATAGTATTATTTCATTGTATCCCAACGAACCCTGTATGAAAGACATTTGGCACAATCGTGTGGAAAGGTCGACACCCAAAAGACACACACACACACACACACACACACACACACACACACACACACACACACACACACACACACACACACACACACACACACACACACACACACACACACATATTACAACACACCTTCCCTGTCAACCCACCCCTTCTAACAACACCTCCCCTTCCTTGTCAACTCACCCCTTCTAACAACACCTCCCCTTCCCTGTCAACCCACCCCTTCTAACAACACCACCCCTTCCTTGTCAACTCACCCCTTCTAACAACACCTCCCCTTCCTTGTCAACTCACCCCTTCTAACAACACCTACCCTTCCTTGTCAACTCACGCCTTCTAACAACACCTCCCCTTCCTTGTCAACTCACCCCTTCTAACAACACCACCCCTTCCTTGTCAGCTCACCCCTTCTAACAACACCACCCCTTCCTTGTCAACTCACCCCTTATAACAACACCACCCCTTCCCTATCAACTCACCCCTTCTAACAACACCACCCCTCCCTTGTCAACTCATACCTTCTAACAACACTACCCTTCCTTCTCAACTCACCCCTTCTAACAACACAACCCCTTCCCCGTCAACTCACCCCTTCTAAAAACACAACCCCTTCCCCGTCAACTCACCCCTTCTTACAACACCACCCCTTCCCTGTCACACACCCCTTCTAAAAACACAACCCCTTCCCCGTCAACTCACCCCTTCTTACAACACCACCCCTTCCCTGTCCTTGTCAGCTCACCCCTTCTAACAACACCACACCTTCCTTGTCAACTCATTCCTTCTAACAACACCACCCTTTCCTTGTCAACTCACCCCTTCTAACAACACCACCCCTTCCTTGTCAACTCACCCCTTCTAACAACACCACCCCTTCCTTGTCAGCTCACCCCTTCTAACAACACCACCCCTTCCTTGTCAACTCACACCTTCTAACAGCACCACCCCTTCCTTGTCAGCTCACCCCTTCTAACAACACCACCCCTTCCTTGTCAACTCAACCCTTCTAACAACACCACCCCTTCCCTGACAACTCACCCCTTCTAACAACACCACCCCTCCCTTGTCAACTCACCCCTTCTAACAACACCACCCCTTCCTTGTCAACTCACCCCTTCTAACAACACTACCCTTTCCCCGTCAACTCACCCCTCCATACAACACCACCCCTTCCCTGTCACACACCCCTTCTAAAAACACAACCCCTTCCCCGTCAACTCACCCCTTCTTACAACACCACCCCTTCCCTGTCACACACCTCTTCTAAAAACACAACCCCTTCCCCGTCAACTCACCCCTTCTTACAAGACCATCACTTCCCTCTCACACACCCCTTCTAAAAACACAACCCCTTCCCCGTCAACTCACCCCTTCTTACAACACCACCCCTTCCCTGTCCTTGTCAACTCACCCCTTCTAACAACACCACCCCTTCCTTGTCAACTCATACCTTCTAACAACACCACCCTTTACTGTCCTTGTCAGCTCACCCCTCCTAACAACACCACCCCTTCCTTGTCAACTCACCTCTTCTAACAACACCACCCCTTTCTTGTCAGCTTCCCTGTCACACACCCCTTCTAAAAACACAACCCCTTCCCCGTCAACTCACCCCTTCTTACAACACCACCCCTTCCCTGTCACACACCCCTTCTAAAAACACAACCCCTTCCCCGTCAACTCACCCCTTCTTACAACACCACCCCTTCCCTGTCACACACCCCTTCTAAAAACACAACCCCTTCCCCGTCAACTCACCCCTTCTTACAACACCACCCCTTCCCTGTCCTTGTCAGCTCACCCCTTCTAACAACACCACCCCTTCCTTGTCAACTCACCCCTTCTAACAACACCACCCCTTCCTTGTCAGCTCACCCCTTCTAACAAAACCATCCCTTCCTTGTCAACTCACCCCTTCTAACAACACCACCCCTTCCTTGTCAGCTCACCCCTTCTAACAACACCACCCCTTCCTTGTCAACTCACCCCTTCTTACAACATCACCCCTTCCCTGACAACTCACCCCTTCTAACAACACCACCCCTCCCTTGTCAACTCACCCCTTCTAACAACACCACCCCTTCCTTGTCAGCTCACCCCTTCTAACAACACCACCCCTTCCTTGTCAACTCACCCCTTCTAACAACACCACCCCTTCCTTGTCAGCTCACCCCTTCTAAAAACACCACCCCTTCCTTGTCAACTCACCCCTTCTAACAACACCTCCCCTTCCTTGTCAGCTCACCCCTTCTAACAACACCACCCCTTCCTTGTCAACTCAACCCTTCTAACAACACCACCCCTTCCCTGACAACTCACCCCTTCTAACAACACAACCCCTCCCTTGTCAACTCACCCCTTCTAACAACACCATCCCTTCCTTGTCAACTCACCCCTTCTAACAACACAACCCCTTCCCCGTCAACTCACCCCTTCTTACAACACCACCCCTTCCCTGTCACACACCTCTTCTAAAAACACAACCCCTTCCCCGTCAACTCACCCCTTCTTACAACACCACCCCTTCCCTGTCCTTGTCAGCTCACCCCTTCTAGCAACACCACCCCTTCCTTGTGAACTCACCCCTTCTCACAACACCACCCCTTCCTTGTCAACTCACCCCTTCTAACAACATCCCCCCTTCCTTGTCAACTCACCCCTTCTAACAACACCACCCCTTCCCTGTCAACCCACCCCTTCTAACAACACGACCCCTCCCTTGTCAACTCACCCCTTCTAACAACACTACCACTTCCTTGTCAACTCACCCCTTCTAACAACACAACCCCTTCCCCGTCAACTCACCCCTTCTTACAACACCATCCCTTCCCTGTCAACTCACCCCTTCTTACAACACCTCCCCTTCCCTGTCAACCCACCCCTTCTTACAACACCACCCCTTCCTTGTCAACTCACCCCTTCTAACAACACCTCCCCTTCCTTGTCAACTCACCCCTTCTAACAACACCTACCCTTCCTTGTCAACTCACGCCTTCTAACAACACCTCCCCTTCCTTGTCAACTCACCCCTTCTAACAACACCACCCCTTCCTTGTCAGCTCACCCCTTCTAACAACACCACCCCTTCCTTGTCAACTCACCCCTTATAACAACACCACCCCTTCCCTATCAACTCACCCCTTCTAACAACACCACCCCTCCCTTGTCAACTCACCCCTTCTAACAACACTACCCTTCCTTCTCAACTCACCCCTTCTAACAACACAACCCCTTCCCCGTCAACTCACCCCTTCTTACAACACCACCCCTTCCCTATCACACACCCCTTCTAAAAACACAACCCCTTCCCCGTCAACTCACCCCTTCTTACAACACCACCCCTTCCCTGTCCTTGTCAGCTCACCCCTTCTAACAACACCACACCTTCCTTGTCAACTCATTCCTTCTAACAACACCACCCTTTCCTTGTCAACTCACCCCTTCTAACAACACCACCCCTTCCTTGTCAACTCACCCCTTCTAACAACACCACCCCTTCCTTGTCAGCTCACCCCTTCTAACAACACCACCCCTTCCTTGTCAGCTCACACCTTCTAACAGCACCACCCCTTCCTTGTCAGCTCACCCCTTCTAACAACACCACCCCTTCCTTGTCAACTCAACCCTTCTAACAACACCACCCCTTCCCTGACAACTCACCCCTTCTAACAACACCACCCCTCCCTTGTCAACTCACCCCTTCTAACAACACCACCCCTTCCTTGTCAACTCACCCCTTCTAACAACACTACCCTTTCCCCGTCAACTCACCCCTCCATACAACACCACCCCTTCCCTGTCACACACCCCTTCTAAAAACACAACCCCTTCCCCGTCAACTCACCCCTTCTTACAACACCACCCCTTCCCTGTCACACACCTCTTCTAAAAACACAACCCCTTCCCCGTCAACTCACCCCTTCTTACAAGACCATCACTTCCCTCTCACACACCCCTTCTAAAAACACAACCCCTTCCCCGTCAACTCACCCCTTCTTACAACACCACCCCTTCCCTGTCCTTGTCAACTCACCCCTTTTAACAACACCACCCCTTCCTTGTCAACTCATACCTTCTAACAACACCACCCTTTACTGTCCTTGTCAGCTCACCCCTCCTAACAACACCACCCCTTCCTTGTCAACTCACCTCTTCTAACAACACCACCCCTTTCTTGTCAGCTCACCCCTTCTAACAACATCACCCCTTCCTTGTCAACTCACCCCTTCTAACAACACCACCCCTTCCTTGTCAACTCACCCCTTCTAACAACACCACCTCTCCCTTGTCAACTCACCCCTTCTAACAACACTACCCCTTCCTTGTCAACTCACCCCTTCTAACAACACAACCCCTTCCCCGTCACCTCACCCCTTCTTACAACACCACCCCTTCCCTGTCACACACCCCTTCTAAAAACACAACCCCTTCCCCGTCAACTCACCCCTTCTTACAACACCACCCCTTCCCTGTCACACACCCCTTCTAAAAACACAACCCCTTCCCCGTCAACTCACCCCTTCTTACAACACCACCCCTTCCCTGTCACACACCCCTTCTAAAAACACAACCCCTTCCCCGTCAACTCACCCCTTCTTACAACACCACCCCTTCCCTGTCCTTGTCAGCTCACCCCTTCTAACAACACCACACCTTCCTTGTCAACTCATACCTTCTAACAACACCACCCTTTCCTTGTCAACTCAACCCTTCTAACAACACCACCCCTTCCTTGTCAACTCACCCCTTCTAACAACACCACCCCTTCCTTGTCAGCTCACCCCTTCTAACAAAACCATCCCTTCCTTGTCAACTCACCCCTTCTAACAA